ATATAGCCCTTGAGAAAGCCAAGAACGTTCTCAAGCATTGCTCAGAATGTAGTAAACTTTACCTGGTAAGATAGCCCTTTTTTTATAGATGCACTGAAATTTGCTTGCCTTTTCCATTTTTTGTTTCTCTGGTTTTATTTATTGGTTTTTGTGATATCTTTTTTTTGATGGAATTGATTTTATGATACAGGCTATAACTGGGGATTCCGTCCTTTTAAAATTTGAAAAGGCAAGATCTGCTCTTGTAGATAGTCTTAGGCGTGTTGAAGATATTGTTCCAGAGTCAACTGGATGCCAGGTAGTAATTTCCTTCTGAAGTCTATTTTTGATAAGCTGATGTGAAAATGATATCATCAATAAATTGGCCTGTCTAAACAAATTGAAAACAGAAATGAAGTATCAGAAGTGTGATTGCAGAAACTTCTTATATTCGTATCCTTGCTGTGTATCAAAAAGAATTCGATCATTTCTATATATTAACATGTCATCTGTAATGATTATATTAACATACCAAGACCATTATATTGAATTAACCAAAATGTAACCTGGCATTATTTTGTGGCCTTTTTCTTCCCTTGTTTCTTGTTCCTGCATAGTTTAGAAGCATTTTTTGATCCCCTTTATTATTTGAATATTGTCAGATTTTGGAGATTGTTAGTGAACTTGAGGGTACTGAATTCTCACTTGATCCATTGGAGAAGCAAGTTGGTGATGATATAATTGCATTGCTTCAGCAGGGGAGAAAATTTGACGATAGTAATGACAATAATGAGCTAGAATCATTTCATCAGGCTGCTACTAAACTTGGTATTACCTCTTCTAGAGCAGCTCTTACAGAGAGAAGGGCTCTTAAAAAACTCATAGAAAGAGCTCGTGTGGAGGAAGACAAGCGGAAAGAGTCAATTGTGGCCTATCTCTTACATCTCATGAAAAAATACTCGAAGTTATTTAGAAGTGAACTTACTGATGACAATGATTCACAGGGTTCAGCACCTTGTTCGCCAACTGTTCAGGGTTCTCTTGAAGATGGAGGCCCTGGTGGCAATGGCCATGCCTTTGAGCGACAGCTATCAAAGCTTAGTTCGTTCAATTTCAAACCAACCTATAGGAAATCTGGGCAAATGCCTCTTCCACCTGAAGAATTGAGGTGTCCTATATCATTACACCTGATGTATGATCCAGTCATCATTGCTTCTGGACAAACGTACGAAAGGATCTGCATTGAGAAATGGTTCAGTGATGGGCATGAAACCTGTCCAAAGACTCAACAAAAGCTTTCTCATCGCTGCTTGACTCCTAATTATTGTGTAAAGGGTCTCGTTGCTAGTTGGTGTGAACAGAATGGAGTCCCAGCACCTGATGGCCCCCCTGAGTCTCTTGACCTCAACTATTGGAGGCTGGCAATGTCCCAGTTCGACTCGTCCAATTCAAGAAGATCAGTGGGGAGTGTCAGATCTGGAAAGTTGAAAGGGGTCAAGGTAGTTCCTCTGGAGGAAAGTGGTCCCATTGAGGAGGCTGAAGAAAAAAATGAAAAATTGTCACCGCAACAGGAAGATTCCATGCCAGAAGATGGCTTCGGGGACAGTATATTTGAAATATGTAAGAATTTCCTGGCCATTTTGAATGGCGATGAAGAGTTGAAGAAGAAGTGCAAGATAGTAGAACAAGTGAGGCTTCTGTTGAAGGATGATGAGGAGGCCAGGATTTATATGGGGGCCAACGGGTTTGTCGAAGCACTATTGCAGTTTCTAGAGTCAGCTGTGCGTGCCAGGAGTCCAGTGGTTGAGGAAGCTGGAGCGATGGCTCTTTTCAACCTTACCGTCAACAATAACAGGTGCGTGGATTCTCTAAATATCAAATGAACATGTAGTGGTAGTGATAATAGTATGAAATATTCAATTCATTTAGGTGTTAGAATCATTATTAGAAACAAGAGGTGTTAGAAATTTAGAATGCTTATCTTTTATAAAACTGACTGGAATGGAGTTAGGATGTAGAGATAAAGCGAGCGACACATGCTTTTTCTCAATGAAACTGTTATGGATCTTCTTGTTGATGGAGGAAATCCTGCTAGAAAGGAGGAGTTAGGTTCTTGAATCATTTTCCATAGGTCTGTGAAGTGTGAAGATGTGCCAAGAATTTTATCATAACTGATTTCCTTTTCCACTATTCCATTCCAGAAATAAGGAAATGATGTTGGCTGCTGGTGCTATCCCATTGTTGGAGGTTATGATTTCCAACCCTGACTCTGATGGATCAGCAACAGCCCTCTATCTAAATCTGTCCTGCCTTGATGAAGCGAAGTCCATTATTGGCTCAAGTGAGGCCGTCCCTTTTTTAGTCCAAATCCTTAAAGGTGAAACTGGAGTCCAATGCAAGCTCGATGCCCTTCATGCTCTCTATAACCTCTCCTCTCGGTCCACCAATATTTCGAATCTCCTCTCAGCTGGCATCATCAGTGGCCTCCAATCCCTTCTTGCAGTACCTGGTGATCATGCATGGATAGAAAAATCCATAGCAGTTTTGATAAACTTAGCTTCTAGTCAATCAGCAAAAGATGAAATGCTATCTGCCCCTGGCCTTATTAGTGGGCTGGCAACGATTTTAGACACTGTTGAACCCATGGAGCAGGAGCAAGCTGTTGCTTGCCTTTACCTTCTGTGCAATGGAAGTGAGAAGGGTAGTCAATTGGTCCTACAAGAAGGAGTGATACCTGCGCTGGTCTCAATCTCAGTGAATGGGACCACAAGAGCTGCGCTGGTCTCAATCTCGGTGAATGGGACCACAAGAGGGAAAGATAAAGCTCAGAAACTTCTGATGCTGTTTCGGGAGCAGCGGCAGCGAGATCAACCATCTGCTGAGGTGTGCTCTCAGCGAACCGAAAGTAGTTCCAAGTCCATGCCGGTTCCTGAATCAAAGCCGCAATGTAAACCTGTCTCAAGAAGAAAGACGGGGAAAGCTATGAGCTTCTTTTGGAAGAGCAAGAGCTACTCAGTTTACCAGTGTTAAGTTGGTGTTGTAAATTTCTGTTGTATCATGTCTTTCTTTTGTTCCTGGGGCGTTCTTTGTTTTTGTTTTCATAGGGAAGAAGAGATGTACATGCCCTTGTAAGCTATGGGTTTTGTTTTTACCTTCGCCATCCTCTTCTCTTTGGAATTCATGTACCATATATGGAAATTATAGTGGAAGCCTTGCTAGATTTAACCTTGCATCAAAACTTGTGGTGTTTTTTTTTTTTAATGTTAGAAAGTGTTATAGCAAGTGTTTTTCATTAAAAAAAATTTAAATAATGTTTTTTTATAATTTATTTTTAGTATTAGTATATTAAAACAATTTAAAAATCATTTTTTTTAAAATTTCATTTTTGGCTTGGGAGGCTTCATGCCTTTAATTTTTGAAAGGCTAAAAAAAATCTCATATCAGCTTTCATTATTTAATATTATAGGACATGTGAAACAAATAATTCTACCAGTTCACCAATTCATCATAGAGGAATCATCACGCATGAGCTTTGGTTCAAACTAGTATAGTAGCTAGTCTTTCACTGCTTGTTAGATTATATATATTTTTTTAAAACTACAAAAAATATTAAGGGTATATATTTTTCTTTAATTATTAAATTTAATTAATCAGTTTAATTTCAAAATTTATTGATGTAGCTCTTAATTGACTTAAATTTTAAATTAAATTATATAAAAGTTAATTTAAAATAAATCATTTAATAGTTTTCTAAAAAAATATTAAGAGGATATTTATTTTAATATTAGGATGATATCAAATTGAATCGCTTTCAATTATCTTATAACCTAAGTCAATATAAAAAACCTACAAATTAGATAATAGATTATATTGGGATTGATAACTTTTTTTTACATTATTTTTTATTTAAATATATAATAATAAAAATAGATATTTATAAAATTCAGTATCAAACCAATGTTGAAATATTTTTCTAAAACTATGATAACCTCATAAAAAAAACAAAAAAAATTATAACACTTGCTAAACTTATTAACATATTCATAGAGTTTCTAAAATTTAATAATATATTTTTTATAGAACTATTTTTTTAACTATATAATAAAAAAATAAATAAACAATCACATAATCAGGTCTAATTAATAATAAAAAAATCACCGCTAAACTTGTAAACTGAAGCAATTAGGGTTATTTTGCCAAACTTATAAATCAGGTCATTGACTTTACAAGGTTTAATATCCTAGTTTTTTTTTCAAAAAATGTTTTTATTTAACTAATTTTTTAAAAATAGATAATACCATAATATTATGATATTTTTTTAATACAAATCCAATGATGAGATATTTTTTGATATCATAATAACCATATAAAAAAAAAACTAAAATAAATTATAAAACTTAAATCCATATAAACACATCATATAAGGATTAAATAAAAAAAATAACCAAAGGAAAAGAAAGGTCAAAATACAAAAACAAATAATGACTATAGATTATAATCTACGGCTAATAAATATATAAATATAAAAATCAATATTTTCACAGACCTTTTAGCTGCTTAATAAGAATTCCTTCTGGTCACCCATCAAAGTTAAAAAGTCTCCAGCAAATTAATGTTGGACTTTTATATCAAGTTTATTTTAATAATATATATTAATTTAGTATCATTGATAGGAACGAGCCCGTCTAGCTCAGTTGGTAGAGCGCAAGGCTCTTAACCTTGTGGTCGTGGGTTCGAGCCCCACGGTGGGCGTTTTAACTTTTATCCCCTCATCTTTTCCTCTTTTGCTGCTTCTGCATTTTCCAACCCTCTCCACGTCCTTTCCAACCATTCCTCGTATTTTTGCATATGACCTGATCTTGAACCAAACCCTGTTTCAGCTTAAGCTCTCAGTCACTCAGATACAGAGCATAAACCACATATTACTGGGTCACTGTTCTATATATTTGCAGTTTGGCACCTTCAAGATCAAGAAACTTCTTGGTGAACCGAGGCTTGAAAAGAAATCAATGGAGGGATAATTGTTTCATACTTTTTATTAATATAGTTGAGAATATGTGCTTCATACAGTAAGCTATTCAAGAACAAGAGACGCAGTAGGATTTATTTTACTTTATGGAATCAAGATAGAACACCTTCGAGTTATCCTCTATTGCTTTCTCCCTTTTGCTCTTCTAGCCATCTTCCTCTTATTTCTCTTGACTTTCCTCTTCTCGCGCTTCTCCTCCATTTCCTGGCTTTCATTTTTCTTGTCATTTTCTTCCTGATTTTCATCCCCTACCTTTTGTTCTTCGACACCAGATTGTTTTCTTTTCAATCCTTTTTTTCTTTCTAGAAATCCAATGATCCCTGTAAGCGCAGTATCAACATCTTCATTCTTCATGAGTTCCTCTGCAACTTCTGCTGGAGTCACTTCCACTTCCATTATCAACTCCTCAATCTGACTGAAAAGGCTGTGGTCCTTAACGTTGAGATAGTTAGAAGCAAGAATCCTGAATCCACAAGGAGTGCAGTAGGACATGTGGATGTGCATGTCCATACGGCCTGGTCTCAGCAATGCAGGATCTAGCTTGTCTTTGTAGTTGGTTGTGAACACAATTATCCTCTCATCTCCACAGCTTGACCATAAACCATCGACGAAGTTAAGCAGTCCAGACAAAGTTAATTGCTACAAGAGAGAAATTCTTAAGGATCACCAACAATATGCTAAATAATGTTAGCGCAGAAGAGAAGCAAACACAATGAACTCACCTGGCTCTCACCCTGGATGTACGCTCCATGTTTTCGGTCCGGCAACTCAATACTACAATCAATGTCCTCAATTACAATTATCGATCGATTTGTTGTCCTAGTTAGCAATGACCTCAGATCTGAATTGCCACGCAAACTTGCAAGTTCCAGGTCGTAGATATCAAACTTGAGGTAGTTAGCCATAGCTGCTATCAAGCTGGACTTGCCTGTGCCAGGAGGACCATACAACAAGTACCCACGTTTCCATGGTTTTCCTACTCTTAGGTAGAAATCCTTTCGCTTCACAAATCTGTCAAGGTCATCCATTATCTCCTTCTTGAGTTCCGGGTCCATTGCTAGTGTGTCGAAAGTGGACGGATGGCTAAGGCTGACACCTTGGTAATTTCCAAGTGCTTGCAGCTTGAGCACCCTGTTTTCATTCTTAATGGCTTTGGATCTTTCGAGTACATAGGGGAGGAAAGTGTTCAAAACCTTTTCGTTGTGATTCTTGTGGAAGCTCAGCAGTATTGTTTTATGCTCCTTTTTTTCTGATGATTGGGACCAGCTTTCAACATCTACAACCGTTTGTTGGGTCTCGGTCGACGCGAATTCCCAAGCTAGCTCAATTCCTTCGAATGTGTCGATAATCTGTTGGCCTTCGTTGATCGTGACAGAAAGGCCTTTGTTCCCTGGATCCTTGAAAACCTTAAGCTGTCCGATAGAGCGAGTGATTCTAGTGCTCAAGTAGACCTCAGAAGCCTCGTACATTTCATTGATGGAGCAACCATTGTATTCATTGACGATGATAGTCAAACGAGAAGAGTCATCTCCAAAAAGGCGTCCGAGACTTGATGATATTCTTTCTTGCAGTTTTTGGGGGATTAATTGGTTAATCACGGCCTGAACTTCATTGAACACTGACCGGACAAGCATTGCAGACGCAGCAAAACTAGTGTATGTTGATAAAACTGATGTTGTTGAAGGCATGCTTGGTAGAGAATACATGTTTGATATTAAAGAAATTACTGCAAGTTGGTGACTTGGGATGAAGGGAGATTTCTTGGCATCGGTTTTTATTCTGCAAAAATTAGTGAATATAGCTTCTAGTTGAAGCCACCAGATGAGAAGAATAATAGAAGCTTGCACCGAAATTTTCACAAAAAAAGGAAAGAATCAGTCACAGCAAAATCGTATATCATACAATTTCCAGTCTCTGGTCAGCGACCGAACAGGTTAATCTTCTCGAGCAATCTTGCAAAGTAGGCGAGCTGTCTGGGCGTCAATGACTTGGACCTTTTCCAAGTCACGGAAAGGAAGTTATTTGTATTGAAAAAGTGGTTTTTTTTTTTTTTTTTAAAATGATCTTGTTTGAAAATATATTCATATAATATGTTTTATTTATTTTTATTATTTATTTAAAAAATAAAAAAATAAAAAATTAATAATGTAAAGTAATTTTTTTAAAAAACATATTCATACTAAACAAATAAAAGCTGCAGTAACTCTTTGATAGAACGATCTGTTTGATCAAAGAAACTTGGTTGGAATAATTAATGGGAATATCTCTTTGGTTTTTGTTGTGCATCCCACTTTGTTGGCTCAAAAGTCTTTTTTATTTGTATTTTTTTAATATATATATATATATTTATTTATTTTTATGATTTTAAGTTGATTTTTTTGTTTTTGTGTTTCAAGTTATTTTAATATATTAATATTAAAAATAATTTTTTATATATTTTTAAAATTTTAAATTGATTTTTTTTTGTTTTTATGATTGTTTTTATTTTCAAAGCAAACCATAGAAAATATACATAGCTCTAAGTTGTTTCACAGACGTGCAAGTAAATTTTATTTTGTGTTGTTCTTTCTTGTAAAGTGAACAATACAAATTAAATTAATTCATCCTACATTATTTATATATTTATATGAGTAATGAATAACATTTTTATTATTCATAATTAGACCGGATTCGGTTTGAATCTAAATATATTGGAACGGTCTGATCCAGTAAAAAAATTTAATTTTTTTAATTATGTTTTATTTAAAAAATTAATATTTAATATTATTTAATGACACTACATAAATTAGAAGGAGATTATATAATTACATAAAATTTATAGAATTTGATCATAATTTTAATTTTATTCATAATGATATTTTATTTAATTTTATTGCATGTTAAAAAACTCATAAAAACTGTAATCCTTAACTGAAGAATTTTATACGTGATAAAATTATAAATAGTTTAATAAAATAATAAAAAATATTTTATATAAAGTATTATGTATTTCAAGATGTAGTAGAAGTAGTTAAATCTATAATATTTAAATTAAAAATAATATATATATATATTAATTTTTTTAATAACCTTAATTTGAAAAATATTCTTAACTAAATATATTAAATTATTTTTATTAAATCTTAATTTTAACTACATTTTTAATCAAACATATATAAATACTAAATTAATCTTAATTAAAAATATTTTTTCTAAAATAACTTTTACAAACTACAAAAATTACTATAACACCAAGCACGTTTAAATTGCAGTAGCTCAACACCTTGCAGCCCTTTAGTAATTAACTTCTGTAAAGTGACCATTACTTTCATAAAAAAAAAAAAAGAATCAAAACAGACTATATAGTAGGATTTTTTTTTTGTTTGAAAGGAAATTTTAAAAATAAATTATTATTTAATTTTTTACTTTAAATTATTTTTTATTTTTATATCATTTTGATTTTGATGTATTAATATTAAAAATAAATTTTAAAAAATAAAAATATTACTTCATCATTAAAATAATTTTTCTAGATTTTAATTATTTTCATATTATTTTGATATATTAATTTTTAAAATAAGTTGAAAAAATAAAAAATATTATTTTAACATTTCTAGAAATAAAAAAATTAAAAAAACATTATTATATTATTGAATATTAAATAGACTTTGCGAATGTATATGTAATTTCTCAGAAAATGTTATACAGCTTTTCACGGTGCACGCTTCTGTTAGAGGTACTTGCACTCATTATTAAAGTTTTCATCATGGATTCCCCAAAACACCCATTCATTTCAAAGCCAAAGCCAAAACTCAAGTAGTCCAAAGCAAGGCTGCTGATAAGTACTAAATATCTAAATAACTTAGAAATAGGATGCTAATATTGAATAATCAATAAGTATTAACAATATTATTCATTCTCCAAGGTTAAGGCAGGGTGATTATTAACTTGTAATTAATTTTTATAAACCAAGATATCTCATGATTAATTATTGCTAAAAAATTCATTAGATTTGATGGAGGCGTGCCAAACCCAGTCTCGAGGTCATGATAGTGTGTGTGCTAAGTCCATCCACACAGGAATTTAATAGTACATCAAGTCCAATCATGCAAGAGTTATAAGAGTTATAATTTGTTTGCTAAATAAAATAATTAAAATATAACTTATAATACAATTCAAAATATTACATTTAAAATGTTCTCATTTAATCTATTTTCTCTAAAAAAACAAAATATATTAATTATAAATGAACCATGGGGTTTTTAGAATAAATATTTATGATTTTTATATTTTATTGCATATACACTTTCAGAATTTTTTCTCTAGAATATTATTATATTTTTTTTATAAAAAATATTAATTTAAATATAAAAAATCTCCTTCTTTATTAAAGAGGACATTTTATAGGTAATAACCATAAATCATCTTGACTTGTAGAAAAATTTATATAAATTATCAATCATTTTAACTAAAAAAAATAAAGTTATTAGAAAGAATTAATTGACCGATTATTTACTAGAAAATTCTATTCCTAGGCTATTTAAATTTATGGAACTTCATCAAATACAATGCCCCGAGTCTTCACTCTTATATACCACAAACTCATCGTCTCATCCGCAATTTATCATTTACAAAAATATACTGCAGCTTTTACGATAGCATAGCACAGCGCAGGGCAGAACCTACAAATAACAAAATATACGCAGCATTCATGAACGAACTTTAATGCTGACTCTTCAGTAATGTCCTCAGATCAAGAGATTGAAATCCCCCCACTTTTCATGTTCAATTGGTTCAAATAGAAAATTACATAAGCTTCCTTTATCATAGGTATGAAGTAGAACATTTACAGCAGCTTTCGTTGCGATTTTATATGTGCCAGGCAGATTCGAATAGTGCTAAAATTGGATCTTCCTTGCTGATGCTTGTCAGCTTTTTATTTGCAGGCAAACTGATTAGATTACCTTCGATGACTGCAGTATTATCCCCTCCTTCTCCAGTTGCTTCCTTGCTAGGCCTCGCTTCTCCTGTCTCCTCCTCAGCAATACATTCTTTCTGTTTCATGCTCTCGTTTGTCTCACCTTTAGTGCTAGTTTCTTCACCGCTAACAATGGATTGGATCATCTGCTCTGTGCTGGTTTCTTCACTGCTAATGACAGTGGATTGGATCATCTGCTTTGTGCTCTCCTCTGAGTTCTGTATGCTCTCTCCTGTCCCCTTCTCTAGTGCATCCTTATTTGTGGTTTTCACAACTTTTTCCAGTGCATCCTTGAATGTGCATCTCACAAGTTTCGGACTACCTGTCTGAGATTCCGATCCTGATGTTGCAGACATGGGACAGAAACATACCTTTGTTTCATTTCCATCGTGATTTTGGAACTCTATTGCGTTACTATCTTCTTCTTGAGCAATTTTCTGTTCAATACTGTTGTCGTTACAGTTTACATCGACCACGATCTCCTTTTCTTTAGTAGTTTCTGATCCCCAATGAGTCAGGATAGATAACCAAAAGTTCAGCCAACAGATAGCACATGACAGTGCCCAGTCTAGAAATGGAATTTGGTTGATTAAGATGGGAAACTTGTTAACAGCAGAATCAAATTTTGCTGGAATGGTTTCTACAATTTGGACGAGCTTGTCAACCTTGTTGAACACATATCTTGATGGTGGGAAAATACCCTCAGCCTTTCTTTCAAGGGCTAATATTATATGATCGTCCACAAAAGAGAGGATTGCCAGGAAGAAACACTCATACCGCAGGACACATTCAAGAAGGGAAGCAAACGAAGCTAACCTGATCAACTTCTTTGTCACTAAACCTAACGGTCCATTAATTTCTTTGGCTTCTCTGTAAGCTTTTCGAGTGATTTCCATGAAAGAAACTCCACATGCATGCAACGGAGGACGCCTGCCACTCATTCTGCAGGTTCCTGCTGTTGATTCCTGATAAATTCATCCGAAACATGTCAAAAGGTTTGGTTTCTTAATTTCAGCAATGCCATTTGATCTAGCCAAACTTTAATAATCCAGATAAACATTTTTTGTAGGAAATATATTTCCCTTGATAGTTTTAAGAATTAGAGTTGAAAATACCCATCAGGCACCTCCGTTTTTGCTGGGAATGATAGAGAACAACAGAAACCATCTAGTTCAAATATCATCAAATTGTAGTATCCAGTTTATCACCCAGAAAAGCTTAATGCATGCATGGCTAATTATTTCTACAATCCTTATGCAAATAAGGATGAAATCACAATTGAAATTAACACTAGTTAATTTACCATCAACAAGAATTCCTTGGCGAACCACCTTGCAACAACTTTAACCAATGAATAAATTGAAGTTAAAACACAAATTAAGACATTAAAAACTAACAAAACTGATGCCGAGGAAGAGAACGCTGAAAGGAGATCCGCACGTTTATTCTATAATTAGCTGGGGGTACTGCACAGTTGCTATTTATTTTAGCACCGTTTTAGGAACTTCGTATTTTAGGCCTAGAATTTAGAAACAGCTTTGAATTTTATTTATTTATTTTGAAAAAATCTCTATACTTATTTATTTTGCAGGGGCTAAGATTTTTAGTGGTTGTGACTCGGTGACTCTTCGAGTACTAAGGGAATAAAAAAATAAAATATAATTTAATGTAAAGTATCACTAATTATAAAGCAAATTAACTATGTAAGAGAATAACACACCTTAATATCCTAATTAATTTAATTATTTGCTGTTCATGAGGTAAATTAGAGGGAGTAGTATAAAATGAAAGTTAAAAATTAAAAGGAAATAAAAAAGAATGAAGAAAAAAGCTCAGAGGTACCAAGTTTTTCTTATGATTTCTTGAAAAAAATATTAATGTAAACGAGGAAATCTTTCTCATTAAACAGCCTCAAGAAAAATAAATCTCGGAGCACAAAGACTAGGCTCTAACAAAGGAAATACCCAGCTCCTAACAAAACAGTATGAAGACCTGAAGGAGGAATTTCCCAAACGAAACTGGGAGCCTGAGAGGTCGACTCTAGCCTGGCAAGAAAGCCTGCGCATCGATTCCCTTCCCTTCCCTCAATGAGTGAAACAAGCTACGATTTAGCGAAGAATTTATATCCTCCAACAGAGCATGACAAGGATGAAAAGGACCACTGTTACCGGAAATCAAATGAACTGCCTCAAGGGAATCAGCCTCCACCATTATGCTTGTTGTCCACCCAATGTAGCTATGGAAACCTGCAATGCACTTCCCCTCCTCATTCCCGATCAAACCACTCATTCCAGTATTATTTGGATTCCCCATATAAAGAACTTCACTGAAACCACAAGGAGCCTTAACGCAGGAAACCAATCTCGATCGGTTGTATGGACTCTCTCCTGCCACTTTGATCTGCAAACGCAAGACTACAAGCTGATCTACTCTAAAACTATTGTAAACTATCTGATGTCTGATGCTTTTCACGCCAAACATGTTTGAAAAACACTTTTAGACATGATGTATACACATTAGATAGATACAGGGGTGTAGAATATGGTCAGGTTCCAAAATAAAAATAAAAAAAACTCAAGAACATAGGGGCACGAGTTTATTTAAGAAATGATTTTTTATCGAGGAAGAAAAATTGAAAATGAAAAATTGTTCTATGTTAGCCTAAAAGATTTTGAAGCGGGAGAAGGGGAAACAGTTTAGAACGTGGGAATTTTATCCATGTAAGATTTGCTCCGACCGCGTCCATCAGCTGACATGAAACTGTTCTCGCCTAGGTAAGATTCTTGGTTCGAGGTTTGAGAATGCAGCTACGTTGTATTTTAGATTGTTTTTACTGGTTAATTTTAAACATAATTTTTAAAAATTTTAAAAATATTATTTTAATATATTTTAAAATAAAAAAAAAACAATTATAATTACACGAGTAATTTTCTTAGTTAAAAATTACTATTTATATAATTAATAATAAAACCCAGAAATTCTCTGTCTCTCTCTCTCTCTTTTTTAAAAAAAGACTACAAAATTATAATGTAAGTGAATATCGGCGTCCAGGCGAACCAAGAAAGATTCTTGTGAAAGAGGGAAACCAAAATACGGTTGCATGGGAAACGTGAACAGCTAAAGCATGGTGACTGCGATGGTGCTGCAAAAGAAAAGGAAAGGGAGGGCATGGAATTCGATTCTGTGATCGATTCTTCGCGCACACACCACAGCACTTAAAAAAAAGGACCGCTGTCCCTCTCTTATCACTCATTTTCAAGTTCACTCTCCTTCTCTGGTAACCAATAATTTTATTCATTCCGTTTCTATAAAATCGAATCGAATCAACAACACGAAACCAAACCAGTGGCATGTCAAAAATGCTTTTAAAATTTTCTGCTTACTAAGTAAACAAAACAGGAGGTCTGCTCCTCTCCTGTTTGGATGCGTTTCTTTTCTTCTCGCAAAATGCCTAGACCAGAAACTGCCCTCGGTAAATCTTGTGTCATTCAATTTTCTTCAAATCTTGTGTTTCTTTGAAGATAAGATTAAAGGGAAACTGAGTTTTGAGGAAGTAAACGAATGCTTTTTTTTATTTTTTTATTTTTTTATCTTTGCTCTCAAGTTTGGTTTGAATTCTATTCTTGACTTGCGATTTATGCTTTTCTCTTGCTTAATTTGGTGGTTTCCATGCTTTCTTATTTTGGGAATTGTTTTTTTTAAACATCCTCGGAGTAGGTTTTGAATTGATATGGATTATGGCGTAGGTACACTTTGTCTTTATAATTTCTTATATTTTGCTTGAATTCTGTAGAGCCCTTATTTTTCGCATGGTAGGTAGAAAGCGAGTAGCTTTTTTCATTATATGTCGGAAACTCATGGAAAATGCGGACAGTTTTTTTTTTTTTTAAAAAAAATTAAATGGCGCCAGCCTTGGATATTGGCTTTAGTTTGAATTCTTTCTTTAATTTTTTTTTTACTGTCCTATTCAAGCCAATGAAGCGAGAAGGATGGTTCTTGAAGAAAATTGACTAATAAAGTTTACAATTTGAGCTGCCTTAACGATTGTTTTTTGTTTGCTACAATATTGATGGGCTATAGGAGACAAGAAACATGTTTTCCATGTTGGCTTTAGTTGTTAAATTTGATTAGTGATGTTTTATAGCATCTCATCATTCGCGGAAATGGCATGAATGGTGCGAAATCAACTTCAATTCGTAAGATATGCAGTGGACAACGTAAAAATAAGCAGCATGTGTTTATAAATACGCCATTATGTCCGTCCTTTAACTTGCTCCGGGACAGATTGATGTGTTTATGTTTGATCCGTGCAGGCATACCTGGAGATGGAAGATGTTTGTTTCGGTCTGTGGTTCATGGTGCTTGCCTTAGGACTGGGAAACCATCTCCAAGTGAAAGCCTTGAGAAAGAACTAGCAGATGAGCTTAGACATAAAGTACGAAGTGAACTTAATTTTTCTTTTTCATTCTCAGCATTGTGTCATTGGTTGCTGCACTGTTTAATATGGTTAAGAAATGTTTTGATTTAAGAAATTGCAACTGTAGAATATGATTTTTGCATGTATTTCCATTTACTGCATACCTCATTACAGTGTAGACCATGCTTATACCATTTTCCCAAATTTGAGGAGAGTAAAATTTGCTTTCAAATCGGCTCTCTCGTTCATTTTTTATTTGTACATGTTCCGAACCCTTTTTTGTGCTTGTGTTGTTTTTATGTGCATGCATCAGAACAGTTTTCTATATTATTTACACTATTAATTTCTTAGTTTCTCATTTCTGATATAGTGTTTTGGCCCTCTTACTGAAATTCTTAGGATCATTTCTGCAGGTTGCAGATGAATTTATTAAGAGGCGGAGGGACACTGAATGGTAAATTTGCTTGAGGATCCTTGGAATTTTTTTTATCAAATCTTGTATCATCTCACGGTCTGGTTTTGCAGAAACATCACCTAGCAGGTCTGATTATTTCAAGGTTGTTGACAAGGATAGCCAACTTTATGCACAACTAACAGCTATGCATTCAGCATGGCTATTTTTTTTTTGGTTTATTTATTTATTTATCAATGAACCAATCTCAATGATTGGCAGTGGCCTTTTCTTTTTCTTGCCATTCAGCAATCCTGATGACTATCTACCTACTCATTCTCTACAACAAGTTGAAAGTTTGTGCATTGGCAGGTTTATTGAAGATGATTTTGACACTTATGTTGTCAGGATGAGACAGCCCCATGTTTGGGGAGGAGAGCCTGAGCTGCTCATGTCCTCACATGTCCTGAAGTAAGCTGCCCCTCTCCCACTCTATGAGACATTAAAAGCTAAAATTTTATGCTGTTCTGCAATTTTGTAAATACGCATAATTGTAATTACATGATTTATTCATGTTCAACTAGGCAATTTACCTTTGTTTTGAATTATTAAGGCTTGGACTTATTGCCACTGAACTGAAATGTCCTTCATAAATGTTTTTGCAAGGCAGCTGTACTGCTACTTTTCACAAACTATATTTGTCATGAACTCAAAATTATATTTATTTGCTATGTAAAATAGAAGAATCTTATAAATGTGACCCTCTTCTTTTCAAAATCTGTGAAATGCATGAGATTATGTTTAGGTTTAATTTCCTACTTTTAGTTAGCCATGTTTAGTTGAAGTAGTTTAAAACATTCTCGTTTGATGTCTTACACTATTTTCTTTTCTAGGATGCCAATCACTGTATACATGCGAGATAGAAATTCTGGTAGCCTTAAAATTATTGCTGAATATGGTCAAGAATATGGTAATGAGAATCCTGTGCGTGTCCTGTATCACGGTTATGGGCACTATGATGCATTGCCCGGTCTGAATGGTGATGCACAATCCAAGCAGTAAGATCTCTTCCCTATTACTTTCATTTCTGACAGAATGCAATCACTTCATCAGCATTCTCCTTAAAAGGTTTAAGATAGTTGATGTGTTTGCTTGTGAGGATATATTTTCAAAGGATTTTGTGCATCTAGGGATTGAAGGTTTAAGAAAAAGGTTCAACTTATGTGTCAATTGATTTCGAGCTTTGTTGGGATCTTTTTTAACTTAGATATATTGTCAAATCTGGCATGCAAGGCTTATTCGGACTCAAAAACTTGTTCTTGTAGAAACTGGATTATCTAATTTGTCAATATAGATGACTACATTTTGCCTCTCATTTTGCTTCTCACCCTGACAACTTTGGTGTGCAAATTTGATAAATATTCTGCATTTCTATTCTTTGCTGAATTTTCCTCATCCTTGTAAAATTCAAAATTTCCTCCTCTCTGTCAAGTTACAAACTGTTAATGCTAATGGGAATGTCTTCTGGGATTCTTGGCAGGTTCAAGAAAAGATGAAGAAATCACAATACGGGATGTAATGCTTTCTAGTCGGAAGATTTCTCTTTGGTACTTGAAATTATCTTCTTTCTTCATGGACTTGAAGTTATTCAATATGAATCTCACATACAGGAATTTGATGGGATCACAAGATGCAATTGCCCCTAATTAACTTGGCCAAATTTTCATTAAAAAAAAATGTGATGGAAAGAATCCGATGAACTGGTTAGATAATTACGCCCGTGAACTGTGGTTTTTTAACATGCACCTTATGATTCTTCTACCTTTTCCAATTGGCTTTTGCTCTTGGAGCTATTTTAATTCTAGTCAGGCTTATAAAAACAAGGTATGCCTTAAAATACGTCTAGTCATAATCAAATATATCTGAATTCTTGAACATCATGTGATCAATGATTAGATTTGGCTGCGTCCCAGTAAATTGATGGTTTGATCTGTTTACTGCTTTGAGATATACGGATCAATGTATTTACTGCTTCATCCTTTTGCGTTAGACTGGTGGCGAATGCTGTATTTGTGCCCGGGTATGTCTATAAAAATTATACAAGTTCTCAAAACAGTTCTCTTTTTTCCCTTTCTGCGGACTGGGGTGAAAAAAATCTTCTTGTATTGCATGGGATCCGCAATGCTATTGCCAAAACAAACGCCAAATGATCTGGATAAAAAAAATAATCCTGTGAGCAAATAGCGATGCCTATTTTAATCCATCATGCATTCCTGAAGGCCATCACGACTGCCAGGCAGCAGCAATAACGGACCTGCCCCTCCCCGGCACTCTGCCTAACTTTACAAATCCCTGCCTACGATCCATCATCGCACGCTAAAAAATGTTTAGACCCAATAAATTGGAGCAGGCTTGGAACCAAAATCCCTTTGACTGCTATCAAGCTAAATTAAAACTCAGGAAAAATCCTGAAAGGTACATGCTGCTGGATGGCAGGCAGGCAGGCAGGTTTGCACATACAGTATCGTTTGGATACTCGAATTAATATTGGGCAATCGATGAATGGAAAATGATGCATGTTTTTGCTGTCGCTTATTGATATCTTTCATAAAAAAAATTTCTGTGAGACTCGAATGTAGTTGATAGTTTTTGTCCACAAGCAAATTATCTAAGGCTTCCAACTTTTGAGATGCCAGGCTTGTATCCTGTAGAAATGTGACTGGCTTGAAACTCACGCATGTGTGAAAACTCAAAAGATAAATCAAGTAATATAATCATCGATTATTGTATGCTCCAATGAAATCAAAATACAAAATGCACGAGTGTTAAAATTAAACCAACCTGCACAAAATCAAAATCCATACATGTGCATGTCAATATCTCCACCTACCTATTTAATGCTAGCACACTTTTTATCTATTTATTCCTTTTTTTTTAATTAAGATATATTAGTCACATGTTAGATATTTTTAAGGGTTAAATCAGCCTATATTATTTCTTATATCAACATGTATTTTTTTTTTTAGCTTATAAATTCTACCTAAATAGTAGGCAATTCTCAATGAAAAGACATGTAAGTTTATTTAAAAGACTTTAAATTATCATGGTAGCAAAGCTACCTACAACTCTGAATTATTATTTGCTATCAAGTTTCTTATTCTTGGTTATTCTTGATCAAAATTCTCTTGACCTCATGTCTTCATATAAGTCTGATGTTTCTATGATTCGTTTCAATAGCAAGAACTATTCTGTTTTAGCTTTTTATTTCAGAATTTCTATCAAAGATAAGGAGCTGTAGGGACATATTGATGGAAATAACCTAGCTCCTAACAAAATCAAATACATAGACCAACATGCCATATGAGAAGTCAAAGATGCTTAAGTTATGGCTTGGATTTTCGATCCGTCGAATCTAATACATCTTGAATCTTCGATCCTCTCAGACTGCAGCTCAGATGTGGACTTACTTAAAGAAAATCTACAGCTAATAAAACACTGTTCATCAGTTTTATCTTAAACATGAATTGAGCACTCTTTAACAAGATAGTCTTTCTATTTCTGATTTTTATTTTAGATTCACCGATATTTGAATTGAATACACTGATATAGTTTATGCTAGCTTACTATCCAAAGGTTTTAGCTCTATTCAATTTGTTCATGAAACTACTCAACTAGATCAATTTTTAATGAAACTGAAACCTAAATTTGAAGGCACTAGATCTAACCTGATGAACCGCTAATTTGTTCCCTCCTTGGATACATGCCTCAGTGACCTCCTTTGCGAAGAACAATGCCTTCTCACTTTAACCACTATGGAATAATGATAATCTATATTTATTCTTATGGTCTATACAACACAAGCTAAGCTAAGAGGCAGGGATATAAACACTATTTAGTGTTTTTATTTTAAGAGATTTAGTCATTACACTGCAAATTATCTCTAAAAATTCTGAAATCACTACAAAAAAAGATAGTCATATCATCAAAGAATACCCTTCTCGACCTCCCAAGAAAACAGAGACAATATATACTATCTCAGTTGGCTCTTCACATCTAATAAAAAGTGCTTCTCCTCCTGTCTAATCCATGATTCCTGCCATGATTCAACAAATGATCATTTTTGCATTTTTAGCTTTGAGACTCTCATGTAAAAATCTTTCTACATCATCTCCTTGGTATTTTGATTCTGCGGCTTCAAATCATATGACAAACAATGTTGTTTCTCTTACCAATATCAATGAATATTTTGGAAATCTCAAAATTCATATTGTTGATGGCAGCCATTTACCTATCACGGCCATTGATGATGTCTCTGCCTTTGCCACTAATGTTTTTGTACCACCTAATCTTACCACTAATCTTATGTTTGTTGGTTGGTTGATTGCAAATGATTATAAACTAAAATTTTTCAAATTTGGTTGTGTTATGCAAGATTAATGGTCAGGGAGGATGATCGCGAGGAGGCCTAAAATGGGATGTCTTTTTCCTCTTTATTTTTTTTTCTCTTTTTTCAATTTTCTTTGTCACTTGTAATTCTACTCATGTTGATTACCGAGCGTGGCATAAACTTTTTAGACATCCAAACTCTAATGTTCATCATGATTTATTGAAATCTAGTTTTATTAGAAATAAAGATTCACCATCTCTTAGTGCTATTTAGTTTGATTGGAATTCTTACAGGCTTGGCAAAAGTAAAACTCTACGCTTTTCTATTCACACACCACATGTAGTCCAACCTTTTAATTTAATACATAGTGATGTGTGAGGCATGATATCAGTCACTTCTCATACTAATTACAAATATTGTCACTTTTATTAACAATTTTAGCCATTTCACATGGATTTATTTTCTTCATTCTAAAGATGAAATATTTTTTTGTTTTTTAGATTTTTCATGCACATATTCAAACCTAATTTTTAGCCAAAATCAAAATTCTTTGTTCTGACAATGGGGGTGAGTATATGTCTTATTTGTTTCAGGACTTCTTGCAGCATCACAACATCATTTCTCAACGGTCTTGCCTTTCAACACCTTAACAAAATGGGGTGGTTAAAAGAAAGAATCGTCATCTTTTTAATGTTGTTTGTGCTCTCCTGTTAGATTCGTTTACACCTTCTTGTTTTTTTTATAAAGCTCTTTCCATTACTGTCCACCTTATCAACATATTACCTTCCCTCACATTGAATCATGACACTCTTTTTATCAAATTGTTTGGTCATCCTCCAACTTATTCCAATCTCTATACCTTTGGTTGTGTATGTTATGTTCATCTTTCTATAGATGAACGCACAAAACTCACAACTCAATCAATTCAATGTGCTTTCCTAAGATATTCAGTGCACCAAAAAGATTTTCTTTGCTATGAATCAAATCTGCACTGTATTCAAATTTCTAGAAATATGATCTTTCTAGAAAACCAATATTTTTTTTCCATGCATCAAGATCTTGTTCCTCCATTTTTTGTTTTGCCTATGTTTACTAACTCTTTTATAGCTCCAGTCCCTTTTAAGCATCTCCTAGTATATCAAAAACGTTCATTTGCTACTTCCCACCAGCCTCCAGACCCTTTTAAACCCCCTCAAGTTCTTTCTTCGACTATTGCTCTTATTCCAGCAATTGCAACTCCCTCTCATCAAAACAAAGTACTTGAGTTTTTAGACCTCTTGATAGGTATGGCCACTCTACTCACTCATCCTTCATAACCACCTTATCTTCTACCTTTCTTCATTCATCTTATAAACAGGCAATGAAGCATGAGTGCTGACGAAAAGCTATTAAAACTAAACTTCTCGCACTTGAAAAAAACCAAACCTGAGATGTTATTTCATGCCCCTCATCTGTGAATCCCCTTGGTAGTAAATTTGTGTTTTCTATCAAGTGTCATTCTGATGGATCCATTGACCATTATAAGGCTCGGTTAGTGGCTCCTAGCAACAAATATGAATATGGTCTTGACTATGATAAGACCTTTGAACTAGTCACTAAAATGAACACTGTTCAAACTACACTCATTCTTGCTGCATTGCAATTCTTAACTATGATAAGACCTTTGAACTAGTCACCAAAATGAACACTGTTCGGACTATACTCACTCTTGCTGCATCTCAATCCTGGCCCTACATCAAATGGATATAAAAAACGCCTTCCTTCATGGTGATCTAAAAAAAAAACATTTACCTAAAACTTCCTTCTAGTATTTCCATTTCCTTATCTAATGATGTTTGTAAACTAAAACATTCTTTGTATGAATTATTGAAGCAAGCACTAAGAGTATGGTTTGACAAGTTTCGATCCACGTTGTTGGGTTTCTCCTTCACTCAAAGTCAGTATGACTCCTCTCTCTTTCTATAAAAGACATCCATGGATATCATTATCCTCCTTGTTTATGTGGATAATATCGTCATCATTGGCTCTAACTTGAAGACAATCTCTGTGATTCAGACTTTGTTATATTCTACATTCCACATGAAAGACCTTGGCTAGCTCAACTATTTTTTGGGCTTGGAAGTGCATCATCAACCTCGCGATCTCTCTTCCTGCATCAGCACAAGTAAATTCAGGAACTCGTTTACTTAGCCGGCCTCACCAATACTATTTCAGTTGACACTCCTATTAAACTTAATGTGAAATATCACCGTGATGAAAGAGAGCTTCTTAATGATCCTACTACTTATTGAAAGCTAGTTGGTAGTCTTATTTATCTAATTATTAGTTGACCAGACACTTCTTATGTTATTCACACTGTCAGCAAATTCATGCAAGCTCCTAGTCATCTCCATCTATTTGTTGTCCTTTGTATAATTAGCTACATTCTTGACACTCCTAATCACATCTCCATCTATCTGTTGTCCGCTGTATAATTCACTACATTCTTGGCAGTCCTAATTGTGGCTTATTCTTCTCTACAGGTTCTTCATTTCAACTACAAGCTTAT